CAAATCATGTAAAAACCCATTGTATTGCTTTATACTTAGAACAGACCTGTGAGACAGGTGGGCCCTATCCAAATAAGAAAACTGAGTCTTAGGTGGGTGAAGCCTTTGGCCAACATCACCCATTGCATACCTGCAGCCACGGCCAGAGAACAGCAGCCTGGGGTGGATGGACACCTGAGGGCACCCAAGGCCTGAGAGGCACTAGGAATGTTCTCTTTGGCTGTATTTTTTCATTTTTATTTATTAAGTTTTTAATTCTACTGTCTTTGGTTCCATTTTTATGTCTTTTGTCTAGATTCTTTAGGTAAATAGTCCATTTATTTCCCTTTTTTTTTTTTCTAATAGAATGCATGTAAGACTATAACCTTTCCTCTGAATAATCCTTTGGTTTTATCCCATTGGTTTTGATAAGAAATGTACTATACACTTACTGTCATTTATCTCTACGTAAGCTAAAATTTCAAATTTGATTTCATCTTCAACTCCAATTTTATTGAAAAGAATACAGTTAAAAATCTCTAGTGGATACATTTATGTAGCTATGCTTTTTGTTAATTTCCAGTTTTATAACATTTTGATCAAAGGATGCAATTTGTTTGTTTTGTTTTGTTTTGATTTTTAGAGGGGGAAAGAATTTTTGAACTATTTGATAGTAAAATATATCATCAGTTTATTCCATGTTAACTAATTTCTTTTATATTCTAGTGTTGCTCGGATTAAAAAATAATTTTAAAATAAAGAAAAAAAATTGTAACTCCTCAAACACTCTTAATAGATAATTGTTCCATGACCCTAAAATTATTTCATGGAATCGTGTCAATTCTAGAAAGTCACAGAAAGAAGGAATGGAGAATAAGACACAAAAATATAATTAAAAACGTTTTTATACTTAGCAAGAGCTGTGAAAGTAAAACACGGGCACTGAGGCAACACAGAGGTAGTCACTGCAAGAAGTAAGTGTGACCCCTTGGACTGGAGGAGCAAAGGGAAGAGAATCTAGACGCTCCTAAGAAGGAACCACGGAGCTGGGACTCAGACCTCTGAGGACACTGCCTGAGCGCTGCTGCTTTCTCTGAGGGGGTCCCAGGAGGCTGGTCTGCAAGTGAAGGAAAACAACAAAAAACAGAAAGAGGACACAAGGCTGGGATCAACTGCCAAAGCTGTGGTGAAGAACCATTGCTGAGATGCAGCTGACAGGACCGGCAGGCAAACGGGGGAGCAAGGCCTTCTCTTCCCTCCTGCGTCCTACTCTCTTCCTGGGGCTCTATACTGACAGAGCCCGTCAGGCAAAGGAAGATGTACTCTGGAGAGCCCCAGCCTCAGGATCACAGACCAGCACAGGAGGGTGGGCTTGGGGCTGAGACACTAGCTCGCAGCCTGGCACAAGGAACACTTAGTGCCCCTCCCCGTCCTTTTTACAACTGAGAATCTGAGATCCAGAGCATGCAAGAGAGTGGTCTAGGGCCTCACGTAACAGTGGTACAACTAGGGCTAGCAGGCACAGGTATGTAAAAATATAATGGCAATTAAAATATACTTTTGTAAGGTAGAAAACTGGCAACTGTTAATTTGTGTGAGTAAATTAATTACCAAGCTATAGAATTATGATTATGTATGCTAATACTAAGGATCAGATCAGCTTTGTTGTTTTATTTTAATTACAACACCAAGACTCTGGTCATGTAGGCAAACTCTCCATTGTTTGCTGCTTGTGTGACATATCTGTAGACAAAACTCAAAAAGTATTAGCAGAAACTTTGCGCATTAGTGTTCTAATGGGAAAACCAATGGAGCTACTGGAGAAAATATCCTCAAAGGAGATGTCCAGCCAGCTCAGGTATATGATCTTCATCATCAGATCTCTGACTCTTTCCCTGGGACATCATAAATGATACTTTTTAGATGGCTTAAGATTACCTTAAAACATTCCTGGAGGGTCTAATACTGGCAGAAAAGTACAGGGAGTCTGTGGAATTTTGAATCTTAGCTCTGCCACTTTCAAGGTGACCTTGAGTAAATTACTTTGGTTTCTTGTTACCTGGTGATAGGAATGTTCATTTATTTATTCAGCAAATATGTGGAGTGCCTACCATGTGCCTGACATTGCTCTAATGGCTGGGGACCAGTGAATCACTCTGCACTCCCTGAGCTTTCCACTGCAGTGCAGGAAGGCAGAAAATAAACCTATAAATATATAAAATGTTAGGTGGCAGTAAATAATATTACAAAAATAGGTCAAGGTAGGCAAGTAGAGAACGACGAGAGGGATTAGTTTTATAGAGTGCATAGCAGAGGCCAGTCTGATAATGTAACATCTTAAGGAAAGGAGGGAGCCATGTGGATGTCTGGAGAAGACTTTTCCAAACAGTGGGAACCAGACATGCAAGGGCCCTGCAGTGGAACCTGCTTAGCGAAGACGAAGAGGGTGTGTGACCGGGGGGTGGGGGGGGG